AAAATTTCCATAATTTAACTCCGAATTCGTTATTAATTCATTCATGTAATTCATAGAAATGCGCACTGGCCGGATGTTAGAGATTGGATGTGTTTGGTGACCCATGCCATTGTTTACTACGAGCCCAAGAGCGCGAATTACTAAATGATTTCATTATACTCGTATGCTGACTGAGTATTTTAATTTCTTTGTACGCATTTTTGTCGTTCGTTAACATTACAATGTACAGATAATTGTATTCATTGTAAGCTTGACCGCGGTGTTGTCTTAACCGTAATAACAATAACACATAGTCTAGTGTGTTATGAGCACCATTATTATGCTATTTTAGTCATTATTTTGGAAACGCATATTTTACTTCAGTAATTTTATTCACTGTGTACATAATGAGAACTGTGCGTGAGAATTATTTTTGGCGAACAATTCAATGAAAATCATATGCTATCTCAAGACAAGTGCCGACCCCGTGTGTGTAACAAGGAATTCGTTACAGTAAATGCTTTTGTAGGATATCCATAAATTTGTCGTTCGTGTAAAACTAAAGAATGTTCATAATCGAGTTAGGAAAAAAGTTGAAGGTCTTGCATAGTAATTATTAACCCGTTCATTCGCTACAACAACATAGATAATGTTATGCTGACGTCATTATTTTATGTGAATTATTCTTTGGCACTCAATATATTTTTACTTTTTTAATATGATTATAAAAACAATATAGTACGTTTTCCGTATCTAACTTTAATGGAAAGGTAAATAAATAAGAAAAAGTGCTCTTTATAGTTGAATATTAAAAGTCGTTAGCACGCAAAGCAAATGACCAAAATTATTTGTGTGGGTTCTGGAGAAAAGCTATTTGTTTTCCAACGGCGGCTTGTGCAGGCGGCTATTATAATTTTTGTTTTATTTATAACTTTGAAATACGATCGGCGGGTTAATAATAATAGCGAGTATGTTTAAAATACATTTTTTACTGGAAGGTCAATATGTCTTTATATTTTTCATTGTGACAGCTATGCCACCGAGTGTAGTCAACCAACTTCATAAATATTCTATGAAATATAATTTCCCATGCGATTTTTAGATATAAAGTGCGTGAGTCGTCGTGATGTGTGGCGATAATGGCAACAATAGTGATACTCGTGCAAAAAGGTTGTCATCGTGGATTTAAGTTCATTTTAGATTTTGAGTGTTACCCACGCGTCTCTCTTACAAACACACACCTACCAGCCAAAGTGTGATCATATATGGATTTATATTTTGTAAATGCAAATTACCGGGTTTGTTTGCCCCATTGAGTTTATCCGTTCTGTTTAATTGTAAATAACCTTAATCGCTTCATACCAAGTGTACCGGAACTATTTATTATTATTGTTACTGTTATTTATTTGTATATGTAGGCCCGGGATAGTAGACCTTTAGAGGACCGCAGTATTGAGCCTATAAATTTTAGCGAAGAACTATAATAATGTTATTACGATCGTTAGTATTCGAAGAACAATTTTAATATATTTTCCAATGTCGCTGGTAAGATAATTCTCTTTAACGCGTTTAAGGTTCAAATGTTCAAAGTGTTTAACTAATAGGAGGCGTTTTGTTATAGTCTGTACAATTTTAATGCTAATTAAATTTTGACTTTTTTTTTTCTTCGTTTTATTACAGAAAACAAAAAATAAATCTCATTTTTCTTATATTGGTGTTTAGTACGCTAGAATTTTTACTGCACAATAGCCGTTTATTTCGTTTATTACGATAAAAAATGTGTATTTAAGTGTGAAAATGAACAATCTAGTTTTAATTTTAGGAATCATGCCAACATCATGATTGTTTTTATTCCTTAATCATGCGGAACTGACTAGTATTTTAATTTTTTTATCTTATTCATAACGGTCGTGTTAAAAATCTAAAACATTCTTAGGATCTGCAACGTTTCATATTTCCTACACTGTTCCCACACTAATTTATTCGATCATCACTACTAATTCTCTTTATCAATAAAACAATTAATTGTGTATATATTTTAATTAACTTTACTTATGCGGTTTTATAGTCATTGTGCTTTGAGCGCACCGGATGATGTCTGAGAATTTATGGTAACCGTTTGTTAGTAGAGCAGATGATTATTACAATATTGTTGGTGGTACCCATCAATAATCAATAATAACAAAAAGAAAAAAACTTTGACTAAAAAAAGAACACCCGAACGAATACCGCGACCCAACGATTTGTCGTTGTAAATAATAGATAACTACTAGATATCATTAGTCATTAGGTTCGACAGGTTTTTAATGCTGCGATGACTATCCGATAATTGCCATTTCCACACTAAACGGTACTGTTGATATTATTTCTTAAGTTATCATAAAATAATTATTACAGTTTAATAACCTCGGATTTACATAGACATTGATGACATTCAATGATATATATATATGTTGGTACATACCTTTCAATTGTATATTTTTCTTCTAAATCGACTCAAGCACCACTATAGACTCTTATTGTCAACTTTGTTCTTATGTTGCTATATCCTATTTCAATTAGCATCCTTTTCATATTTTGCATTTAATTTACGTAAAAAATTTTGTCGTTTTATACTATATTCGACATTTGAATAAGTATCCCTAAATAATAATTTTATGATCTAAATTAGTAGTAAATCACACACATTTACCCCTGGTCTCTGCACTATGTTGTAATTTTAACTACTAAAATGTTTTTTATCTTAGTTGATCTATAATATTTTTGTAGTTTTCGTCTCAATATAATATACTGTCTAGCCCGTGATGTCCAAACATTTTAGTTTTGATTATGGCTTAATATAAAATCGATATCGTTCATGTTGCGACATGGTATGACAATAAAATATTATATTATTAAATATAAAAACGCAAGCGGGTTCGTTGCTCTGTAGTTAAAACGGATAAAGTTTTCAAAATTGTTTAAGTTTGCCCGTTTTGTTTTAACGCAAAACCTCATTTGTCATGGAAAAATTGTCTCGACTTTGCAAACCGAAAGTTTGCTTATAAAAATAAACTTTTTAAATACATCTATCGACTCTCGTTGACTCGTTAATTGTTTGTAATTAATTTCAACTCTTTGAAGCGAATGTGCCGAAAAACGGTCTTAAAATCCGGCAATAGTCTAATGTGTTGAGGACAAGTGTTTTTTTCTACTTTAAAAGGCCTGACTGAGATAAATATATTGATTTAAAAAAACGTGGCGAATGTTTGTGGAACGTCTTTTGTGTCGTAAATTTGAGGTTTCGTTTTGTTGACTGGATCCTTCCTGACACATAAAATATGATTTTTCTCATACAGTCGTTGTGAGTTGTGGTTTACGTTCTCTCGAGTGTTGTTCGTACATTAACCATTTACTTGGTTGCTATAAAATATACCTGAGTGAATTTTGGGTTTAAGTGTGACGATGTGTTTTTTTTTCGGCGTATTTTCTTGTTGGGGTCTATTTAATCTGTCCCGTTAAGACATTACTTCTCTACTTTTTGTCTGTGTTTGTTAAACATTTGTGTGAAACCAGTATATCAATGTACAAACTACCTCTGATTTCACTTCTGCCTAAACATAAAATCGCTTTTTAATATTAACGGTTTAATACTAAATAATATTAGAGTATTCTATTACAATAGGGATCGACGGTTAACGTGCGATGAGTTAGTAATTATTAATAGAGTAGAGCTATGTGTAGACCGACATTTGGTCGGACGTCTCTTCGTGTAATTTTAAGAAAGACATTGCTAATTTTTTTTTGGACGGAACTGTCTAGTGTTTGAAAACGTGAATATATTGTTAAACTATTTCACTATTTTCTCTGTACGTACTCTCATATAATGTTAGCATAGTAATCGTATTCGTTTTACTGAGCATCTAATGATATTAAAACAATTTAGTATTCATAGGTATCCTGATCGTTGTTTATAAAATGACCAATTCATTATTTGAAAATCAATACTAAGACTTGTGTGTATGCGTATCCCGAAGTTTCCTCTCTCGTTTTTTGCGTGCAGTTAAATTATAAGAATACAATTTTTGGTGTTGTGTTTTTGCCATGAAACACAATTAATGTTTTTAACGAAGAACAGTTAATTACTTAATGAGTATTATCTTTCTTCTTCGCTGTGAGGACCACACATTTTTTGTCAGGTAAACTACAATTTTTTGATTGGGTACACAGTTAACGGTTGTACCATAATTGTGGCTTACTGTTTCATTCAACCATGTATCTAGTATTGAGTCATATAAAAATACTTCTATACTTTATTTTACTTATGTTGGTATTGCACAATGTTAATCTTTCTATTCTTTTTGTAGTCAATTCTATTCAAATTTCATCATAGTAAGTGTGATTTACTTGTATATTAAAACTTATTTGTTCTCAAATAAGGTTACCAACTTCCCCGTAATCGTCAAAATAATCATATTTGATGACATTTTTTTAAAAATCACACTAAACATAATATACATTCTTGTTGATTAAGTGAAATACAGTGCAATACTGTTCAGTCTACATTGGGATACTAATACCGTATTGAGTTGGACTCATTAAAAGTAAAGTTCGAGCGTATTTTCAATGTATTAATAATTTTTATCGACCCAAGAAATATTTTTATAAATACTTTTCCTTGTTTTGTATTTTGTTGATTTTTTCTGTAACTGTAGTTGATTTGTAAGTCGTTAAAAATTCATTTATTTGTGTAAATCATATATATATATATATATGTAAACTTTTGATATAGTATAACTATTTCAACAAAGAAAGATGGTAATTTTTTTCGATTTACCCAAAATAAGTTTGTAGTACAATTGTTATTTATGTTTTTTAGAATACTTAACAAACATTAAATATTAGAGTATTCTTAGTTAGAAATCATTAATCTTATTTACTTAAAAACTACTTAGTTAAACGTGTATGTTTTATTTATATTATTGATATAACTTTATTGATGATGAATACGTTTTTATAAGTTTTCTTTATTTATTTTATAGTGGCCGCGGCCAAGATCTGTGAACGCCGTGTGTGAACAAAGAGGATAACAACGTCAGGTCACGGACCCCCTTTGGCGTGGGCAGGCCCCGGCATTCTCGCGGATAATGTTTATGGGGCGGCGCGTTGGGCACCGCCGCGTTCCATGGACGAAGGAGCCGGCGGCGGCAGTAGCGGGAACAGTACCAACCGAAGAATATTACCGCCACTGTATCATCATCAAATCCAGCAACAGCAACAACAACAACAGCAAGCTGCAGCAACAGCGGCAGCAGCAGCGGCTGCAGCTCAACAGTACCTTACCGTAGCTGCAGCAGCCGCTGCAGCAAACGCTGCGGTTTTACAGCAGCATTCATCGTCATCATACAACGGTGAGGTGCAAGACAGATCAGATTCTGGTCTAAGCTCATCTAGAACTCTCAACTCGAGTGATGAACGGTCTGGATCTCACTCGAGTGCGTTCAGCGGGTCCGATGACCACGGGGCTGCAACATCGCCTTTAAACGAACAGCAATCGTTTAACAACGTACGTATTTGGAGAGATCCCAGTCTCTTACAGGTAAAATATGCTCTATACTTAATTAATGAGCTCAAAATTAATTAAAAGAATCTATCCACGAAACAAAGATCTTTTACAAAGGGTACTGTGACTACTGTCTCTCTATATTTCAGAATTAATTTTATTATGTTTAAATATTTGTTTCTTACTATGTATTTGTTATTTGGGTGATATGTTAGGAAAAAAAGTTAATTATTGTTAAAATATTTGAAATTGTCAGATATAAATTTGTAATTTATAAAAAATGTTTTTATCAAAAACTTAATTAGTTCTTGTGGAATTTCTTCACGTACTTTCTTTCTAGATTATTGATCATTAGTACTATTTTAATAGTAATATTATCAAAACAGTACCATTTGTAGATAATATACTGAAATAAAAATTGTTATTCATTGTATCAGTTTTTAAGTGTTTTCATGAAGTTTTTTCTTACTGAGCCTTTGTATTTTATATTGTGATTTCTTTTATTAACAGCATCCAGTTGATGGACCTATAAGGCATGTCGATAGCGTTCAACATCAGAGTTTGTTTATGTCTTCAAGCGCTCAAATGTCTCAAGCACCGTTGCCCTTTCAGTCTTTTCATCCACCCTCGTCTACGGTGCAACCAATGAATGTCGGTGGAATGATGTGGAAGCCTCCTCCAGTATCAGTTTCAAATTCTAACGGAAGTGGTGGTCAACAACAATCCGTCAATTACTATCAGCAACATGCTAACGACCAACAGTTTAGATTAAATAACAGGTGTGTTAACGATTACAGATTTTGTTATTTAGTTATTTTGCTGACGGCACTGTTGCATAGGTTCCAAAGTTTTAGTCATCATTTAATTGTTTTGTTAGCAGGAGTAATGTCTCTGATAAAGATGCTGCCAAGTACAAGGAAGCTAAAAAATCCAGGTCTAACTCGCAAGTTTCTCTAACAAGTAGTTCTAGAACTACCCCGACGTCCATCGGCCATCAGCTTGTTGCTGTGGATTCCAAAGAGTCTCGTGAGTATAGACGTATGGAAATCGATCGCCTCATGAATCGCCAAAGGCATTCGGAACAACAGATGAGAGAACACTCAGAAAAGAAGAAAGCCGAAGCTGCTGTTCACCAGCATTTTGAAGAAAGTTTAAAGTTGGCACAGCAACAAAGGGTAAGTTTAAAATAAATTATTCTTTGATTTTCTAAAATGTATTTTAAATTTATAACTATATCATACTCTAATTATTAAAATTAAAATTTTATATTTTAATCAAACTAAAAAACTTCAAGTATCAAATTCACAATCAAGGTTATACATTCTTACACAAAAATATACTTTTTTAAAGTCATCAAAGCTATTGTATGTATGATTTTTTCTCTTAAAAAATTTGATTTAAAGATTTTTTTGACACTTATCTTGAATTTAATTACAATAATGCAATAATATTTTCATTTTGAATTTAAATTACGTCGATTGAAAAAGTACTTTTTTATTGTTCTTTATTTGTGTCAAATCATTGTATATTTTTTCTTTTTCACTTGAAAACAATTTTATTTTATGAAATTGAGCTATATAAGTATAATGTATAATAAAACAACAAAGTTTTTAACTTTTATTCAAAAACTTAAAACTTAAAATTTTATTTTTCTGACTTTTCTTTTAATTTTAAAAGCAAATTTAACGTCTTCATTCTAATATACCGAGCATAGAAATTACAAATTTATTTCTTTACTAAAAATGTAATTAGCTTATCTATAATCAAATTTATATTGGAATGTAGTAAAGTTTTTAGCTATAATGTAAGTTTGCTTTTGTATAGAATTATCAAAGAATTTTGATTATCGAGCACTTATAAAAAATAATTAACTTAATTAGTTTGTAGCAAGATATTTTCTTTACGAAACTTCTGAAAACAACAGATGGAGGATCGTTAGGTTTTCGATGGTTTTTCATTTAGCTTATTTTTATAAAATAATTTTGAACATAATTGAGTGATTTTAATTGTAAAATACTTATTTATTAAAAATAATTTTTGAAGAAACCAAAAACAAAACTTGTATTATAATATTTTATACGTATTATAAAATAATATTAATAATATGTAATATATTATTTTAGAAATAAATATTTTTTAGCTATACATTTTTTTATATTCCATTATTCTTACTCATTGCCATCAAAAAAAGGTTTATATGTTTATAAAAAAAATACTTTTTTTTTCAAAAATCACCAACTTGGGTTACAATTTCTATGGCATGTTTATCACACTACACTGTAATTTTTAATTTATTATTTATAAGGTCTGTATACAAAAAAATGTAAATATAATATATGTAAATAATAATATATGGCGCATATGAAAATTCATCATGTTTGTCTTACCAGGAAAATGTCACACACTTCGATTTTGTGCTTAACTTCGTATTATTACGAATAATAATTTATATTCTGTATATGAATTACCAATTATTTCTCTGTACACAATTTCCCATTAATTAATTACTAATATTATTTCTCTTCGTTTGTATACAAGCAGGTTTTTGGGAGAAATATAATTGAATATTTGAACTTGAAGGGTTGTATTCCTCGTATATATGTTTTTGACACTTGAAAGAGTTTGCAAAGTGCAGTGTTTCTTTAACATAATCGTTTATGATAAAAGATTAACCTCACATGTCATTCGATTTACATTCAAATAAAATATTATTTTTTGATTGCCGCCAAAGTGTTAAATAAAAAGATATATTATGAATGAGAAATTTTTTTGAGGTACCTCTATGCGATACAAAATGTATTTAATTTGCATATAATATATTTAAATATTATTTAAATCGTGTAAATATAACGTTTATGAAGATTAATCAACATTGAATAAAAACTGAAAATATTTGAATGATATTTTTATTAATTTACTTCTGTATTTTTAGCGCTCAAACTGGATTTCTAACCTACCCACTCCGCCTAAAAATATATTTCCTTTGCAAGGGTCGAAAACTTCTCAGGAAATAAATACCAAAGGTCCTCCAGTATTAACCCCTATCAGAAGATCGCCTGAAGACTGGAAGGACAAAGGAGTTAACTCTGCCGGCAAACACACTACTGCAACTACCGTTCTACCCAGATTAACCCCCATTACAACAATGCCACCATCTAGATCTTCGGCTGTGAGTAGACAGTTATAAATAACTAATGGCAATGATGCATTTCATGAATGAACATTTTCTTATTTTATAATCAACATCAATTGATTTTAATAAAAAGAAATTGTTGATATTCATTGTTAGATAATTTTTTCTATCGTAAAAATATATTATGTATTTTTAATCGAATTAATTTGATTTTGTAGCAAATACCTCATAGAGTTCAGCAACAGCAAACGTCTAAAAAATTATACGACGGTGAAAAAAATAACGTGACAATGAATGTTCACGACGGTCTCAACCACAACATGATCTCTTATGCTCATTTTATGCAGCAATCTAGCAACAATAACTCAGCGACAGCTGCTTATCCACCATCACCATCTCCATCGTCAGTAATTGTAAGAAATGATAGTACATCGCATAAAAACGGTGGTATCGTTAAAACCGAAAGTGTTAGTTACTACAGCTCAGTATCGCCTGGCATCAATATGACCAGCCCTCATGAAATACCACCACAATTAGAAATTAATAGAGGTAGTACTCGGGCTTTAGAATCACCCGACATCGCGAAGTCGTCTTCAAGGGTTCCTACGTCTGCTTCCCGTTATCTTCCTCCGCCGGAATCGCTACTTTATCCAGCAAATGTTACTAGTCAACAACTTAGTAGCAGTAATTCTAGCTCCGGCTCTAATTCATCAACGTTTTATCCATCATCGTATCCTGGTCAAACATTTGGTCGTTCTCAAAATGTTATTGGTGGCCACTATTATCCTTCTGTCTCGCCATCTTATTACCATCCTCCATCAAATTATCGTCAGACCAGACATGCAGATACTGCTTCATTTTACCCTGCTTCCACAATACGCCATGTTAAGACTTCAGGTCAATTATCACCGTACCCACCAACCGCTTCTTCACCTTTATTACAACATTTTAACCGAAGTAGTTCTAACAATACTCCTCCTCCGGCACATACCAGTATAGTCAATACCCGTAGTTATACACCGGATGCACAAGAACCTATACCTTTAGCATTAACTAGTAATGGCCATAATAAAAACAACGACGAAATTCAATATGAACCCTTGGATCTTGTTGTAGTCTCTGACCGTGTTTCTAGACCATCGTCTGCACTAATTATTGACACAATAGCTCCAAATGTAAACAGTATAGAAGTTCATCCGGATGCGCATACAGATGCTGCTAAAGTACTTTTAGGTATGCACACTGCCATTGATATACGTCAGAACGTACATGGACGTTCTGACTCTGACAGTTTACCTTTAAAAATTCGCGTTGAAGACCAGAATGGTACGAAAAAATTAAACGATGCCAATTGCAATGGTCAAATACTAAGTAATGAATATACTATCTCTAGTCCTATGTCTTTAACGACATCTATCTATGATTTCAGTAATAAAACTGAACTTATCAAACTAGAACGAAAAGAAGATGAAGTGATTATTGACATTGGAAACGAAAATAGTGTACAAAAAGAGCAAATCCAAAATGATTGTGATGAGGATGACGAAGACGAACCCTCTCCACCTGCTCTAGTAAAAGAGGAGGCATCACCGCTCTCAAATCGAGACACAAATGGTGAATCGAAAGAGGATGAAGATGAATCTACGGGTTCGCCACCTGTTCTAATGCCAGCACCACCGTATACAACTACGGAGTCATCTTGCGGTAGTGGTGGAAGTATCAGTGTAAAAACGCCGCATCATCATAAACTTAAGAAGGCTTGGTTGCAACGTCATACACGAACTGAAGATTTAAAGGAAGCGACTGCTTCATTATCATTGGAAATCAGCAAAACTATAGCAAAAACATCGTCAGTTGATATTTCAGATGATGTTCCACCAGTGCTATCGTGTGAAACTGCTACACTTCAGCAACAACAAAATTTTAATAAAAAAAGAAGTGCTGGTGGTGGTAGTGGTAGTACGGCACTTGAAATGTCTTCATGTGATTCAGATGCTGACATGGCGGCTGGACCTAAAAAGAGAAAAGTTTCAAATGCCACCACATTTTCAGGCAATAAAAGTGCATCTGACAGCGATGAAACGATTTTTGATGGAAAAGACGACGATGCCGATGACAATGGAAGTTCGGGCAAAGTAGATGAAATTACGACGCGACAGTCAACAATAATTACGAACCATGAAAGAAAACAACGTAATTCTGTCAGTACCAGTAGCACTAAAATGCCTAAAAAGAGGGGCAGAAAACCTAAGTTGCCAGTATCTTTACCAGCTAAAAAAGTTTGTAAAAGTGATGATATTGCTATCGGTAGCGAAGAAGATGGTGACAACTTTTTCCAATCTGGACCGTGTTTAAATGCGGGTCCTAAAATACACAAATGCAGAGAGTGTCGATTATTTTTGAGCAGAAAGAAAAAAGATACTTGTCAAGACGATATCGATAATATATTCTGCAGGTTTTATGCATTCCGATTGCTTTATACCAATAAAAATGGTCAATTGACCAACGCGGGATTTCCAGACCCATTTAAAGATGTTACTGAGGTAAATAATAATAAAAAATATTAGATTTTATTAAAATAAAATAGCAATGGTAAACAATTTTTATATTAGTATTTTAGTGTAATTTTATTTTAATTTAAGATCGTCTCTAAAGTGTTTTAAAAATAATCACTTTGACTTAAACACTCCAATAATTTAATCTTAAATTCAAGTAAACCTTTTTTTTTTTTAATTTTTATTTTTTTACGGAAAAAATTTTGTCCTATATTCTTATACTACCTAAAAATTTGGCTTCTCATTTCTTATTACGGTTTGAACAATCAGACTAAGGCTGTATTGTGTAATATATATTTTAACATGACATAAATGGTACTGAATTTTTATATTAAATTCGTTTTACTAATTATTGTTGTTATTGCACTTTTTAGGAAGACCTCGAATTATGGACACCTAATTCACAGAATCCACCCGATGGATTGGATGTAACTGTGGCTAAAAAAGTTTTGGAGGAAGCCGGACGTCAGTTCTGTTATCTTGTCAAAGAAGAAAATGAAGCACTCACATTAACTCCATTTGCTCAAGGTATAGTTTTTTGACATAACACATATTTCAAAATAATCTATATGGTGTACATTATTGACATTATGTGTTTTTAACATTAGATAAACCCATTGCATGGAAAAAAGCTGCTAATGGAGTTAGAGAAATGTGTGATGTTTGCCTAACCACCATATTCAACTACCATTGGGCGTGTGCTAAATGTGGTTTTGGAGTGTGTATCGATTGTGTTAAGGTAAAATTGCATCAAAGATAATGAGGTTGTCTTCTTTGAATATAACACTATTAGAATATTTATAATATAGTCTAAATATGACATTAAATTGTGGATTTTGTATCTTATATTTATAACAGAGTCGTCTCAATGGCTCTGCGCTTTCAGCAGACGCTGCGTCAATGACCAAAAAAGATCTCAGAGAAAAGGACACTTTCATGTGGATCACATGCACTAATCGACAAAATCATGACATCGATCGGCTAATGCTGACTCAGATAGTAGCTGGAGATTCACTTAATTTAGTTAACTCGAAAATGCACGAAATATGTACTATAAATAATATTAGATTAGATTGTGGATGCCCGTCACACGGACCTCCTTCATGTAACTCAGTTGAACAACAGGTAAAAGTTAATTATTTTTAATCATTCTCTCATCTTATTGCGTTTATTTATTTAAAAAAAAAATGAAACTAAATTCATTGATTTTTTAATAAATCATTTTATTTAATGATAAATGAAGGTTAATAGTCCTAATAAAATACACAATATATTATGTACTGTTGTATGATAAATTACAAGTTTCCAATATCTTTTCTCTAAGATATGAAATATTTCATTGAAATCCTACAATTTGGTTCTCAGAAATCGCGTTCTATGATTTCTAAAATACTTTGTTGTAACAAAACATAGTACTACCTTGAATTGTTCGATTTATATTAACGCTTTCTATTTTCGATTCAATAGATTACTTTAGAGGTAAATTTATAGAATATCTATTTTTTAAATAACTATCAAGAGTTAATTATTTCTCTATTTGCATCAATTAATAAATAAAATATAATAAATAATTTCTAAAAACTTTATTTTATATTTTAATTTCTGTTTAATTGATATTTTTAAATTTTGGTACCTAATTGATTTTTTATACGTTACCATAGAATGTAATTTTAAATAAAGACTTTTCGAGTACCAAGCTTATTAAAGAATAGTTAATTTCTGTTGAGTTAAAATATTTTAAAGAATATGTTCTAAATTTGTTTGGTTATTATTTATTACGTACTATTTTCTATTGTATTTTCTATTTTGGTATTAATTTTTTTTTCTTATGTTTTAAGAATGGTTTATCTAAAGAAGACAATGCTACTAAATCGTGTAATGAACCGTCTACAGATTCAAAGACCGATTCGACTAATGAAAATGCGTTAACTGAGGTATTGTCGTTTTTCTTATTTTATTGTAACATCTTAACGTGTGTTTTATATATTCATATTTTTTGACAATCATTACTAGGTAAATAAACATGTTCTACAGTACTGTATTGTACATTAGATAAAGTTTAGACTATGTTTATTTTTATTAAATTTATTTAAAAAATTAATTTTTTTTTTAACTACAGGACAAAGTTAAAAAAGATAATAATACGACGTCGGTGACTACTATCATTGAAAAAAAAATTGATGAAAGGAAAGTCGACGATAAAAAAGTCGTTGAAGAACCTATTACAGCTGAATCTAAAGAGAAGAAAGTCGTTACCTTGAAACATTATGTAAAGAAGAAGAACAAGTATCCAGATAATGCAACCCGGAGGACATCACCAGTTCGCGTAATGACTGTAATCGAAAGCCGACAACTATATCCAGATATACCGCACTCATGGCTGTGCGACGGTAAATTGTTAAGACTGCTCGACCCCGAAAATCCTTTTAACTACGTTATATTCCAAGTAAGGAAAATGCTTTACTTAAAAAAATTTTTAAGCGTGCACTTTCATTTTCTTAAATTAAACAAATTTGACTAAAACCAACTTTAAAAATCATCTAAAAATGACCACGTTTCTAAAAAAACCGTCTATTATTTACCTAAATTGTATAATTTATTTATTTCAGGAACAGTGGAAGCGAGGACAACCAGTGATGATAAGCGACGTCGGTAAAAGCTTAAATCCACAGATTTGGCACCCAAAATCATTTTCCAAAGACTTTGGCCAATATAAAAACGATCTCGTAGACTGCTCGACCGGCCGAATTGTATCTAACAAGATGATGAAACAATTTTGGGACGGATTTGAGAATGAGAATGACAGACTTACAGACTCATCCGGCAATAAAATGCTATTGAAACTTAAAGATTGGCCTGTAACGGCAGACTTTGCCGAGACGTTACCTGACAGGTAATGAAACAATGTTGATAATAAGAAATATCAATTTTTCTTTTTGATAGTACAATAATTATTTTTCTACAATTAATGGTTATTTTAAAAACTCTTGTTAAACTTCCAATCGTTTCAAATTTTTTTTTTTTTTAGATTTGATGATTTAATGCGAGCTCTACCACTAAAAGATTACACCCATCGGGATGGCAAGCTCAACCTCGCTTCCAGGTTACCCGACTGTTTTGTGCGGCCAGATCTCGGTCCAAAAATGTACTCGGCCTATGGTAACGCATGTAACCCTGACCCTGGTAAACGAATGTTAAGCACAACCAACCTTCATTTAGACGTGTCAGACGCCGTAAATGTTATGGTGTTTGTGGGTGTGACACGTGACGGCAACAAAAAAGGTGATGATGCCGAGAGAGATCACGATTGGCATGTCAAAGGTAATAATTATATTTTTTGTTCACTTGAACATATTTAAAAATAGTTTGTTTCTATCCGATAAAATAATGTAAAAATAAAATTTTGATCTGTCAAAATGACTAGAAAGTATTACTTTTCAATAATTATTTTTAATCTATAGAAGCATATCGTGCCATTGACGAGGCTGGTTGTGATATTGCAAGTAGACGACGGGCCCGCGAAGCGAAAGAAATTCCAGGAGCTGTTTGGCACATTTACCACGCCGACGATGCGGATGCCATACGTGACTTGTTGAACAAAGTGAGTGCTGAAGAAGGTAAACCGGCCGAACCTAACCACGACCCTATACATGATCAATCATCATATTTGGACGCTGATCTTCGAGCGAGACTTTACAACGAGTACGGAATCGAAGGATACGCAATCGTACAGTGTCTTGGTGATGCCGTGTTTGTCCCAGCCGGAGCACCACATCAGGTATGAAATGATTTCACATAAAAATTTAACAAAACTGGCAATTGAGGAAGATTTTGTTTAGTGACATAATATCATTAATATCCGAATCGTGTAATGATCAAGTGTTATACTTTAATTAGATTCGAATTTAGTGGTATTTGAATGAAAAACATGTACATTGATTTTTTTTTTAATTTGACTAATTTATTGAAAAAATAATATAATTTTATAGAGAAGATAAGGTTATTATTAGAATAATATGTTAAAATATATCATAATAATTATTCGATGAATTTGAAACAAAAGATCTCTGATATTTTTTTGGTACATATGAACCTATTCATTTATTAATAATTTTTTTATTTTAGGTAAGAAACTTGCACAACTGTATTAAAATCGCAGAAGATTTCGTTTCACCAGAGAATGTCTCGCAATGTTTTCGACTTATGAACGAGTTTCGGGAACTATCAAAAAGTCATGACAACCATGAAGACAAACTGCAGATCAAGAACATAATGTACCATGCAATTAAAGACTCGCTTTCAGTCATGTTACACGATCGATTGCAGTCGGAGCAGAGCTAGTATTTTATAAATTATGTACTTGATTAAATATGTTAACTACTACCTATAGATTGAATTTACCTGAAGACTATGATATTGACGTGATTTTGACTTTATTATTTTTATTATTGTTGTTTGTGTAAATATAAAATCGGGTCCATTGCTCTACCCTATTGTAGTTTATTTGTATACGATTTTAACTATTATAATTTTTTTTTTAATACATCTATGTATAATAATAATAATGAACTCAATGTTTTGTTGTTATATAATATATTACTTTTTTTTTTTTAATATTATAATTTTGATCATGTATTAAATATTTTTATTATTATTATTATTATTGTTACTTTACGGTGCTTTTTTGAGCATGAGGACAAAAGTTCTTTTTTTCCATAGAAGGTACAATATTATGTTTTTCAATTTTAATTGTGATAACATGTGTAACATAATGTTATGTATACACTTATAATTAAATACTTTAACTTACATCTATAAATTCGCATATTTATAAATATAATGTTAAAATGAAATGTTGAAATAATTTATCTGTTGATCAGTTTTGTGATTTTGGGACAGTTAAAAAAAATAGTTCAAAATATAATGAATGTCATAATTTCAACAAATTATTTGTATACATAAATTGTTCTTTTTTTAAATATTCTATTTTAAATGACCTGCAAATATTTGATCTATTACAAATTACAAGGCTATATTGAATAACTTTCTACAAAATTAGCATCATTGATTTAATTTAGAAGGTCTGGAAGTATAGATATTAATACTATATGATTTTATAATTTTTTCTCGGGTGTTACCTCATTTAAATCTTTTAAAGATAAAAAAAAAATACAGGTAGTTATAATCAAAAAATAAAAAAAATATTGACCTTAATGTAACGAATTTACTTGAATTACAATGTAGTGCTACATAACATAATATATTATTTATATTAAAATATTACACATGTTTATGTTAATAATTTATTCAGGAAGTTATCCAATATTTAAAAAAATAAAATCTTAAAATAACAAAAAATTAGTTATGATCTATCATGTATTAATAATTTATTAAAATAACTTGCCATGAATAAGAATTAAGGTCTACTTGAATAAATAAAAATTCTACTCTCTTATTCATTTTCTTCTATGATACATTTATTATAAAATAGGTAGACTTATCACAGAATTATTTATTTTTTTCTGTAATAGATTTAATGAATTATACTAGGTAAATTACAAAAAAATATTTTGGTTTTGCCTGATTTTGTTTTAACTAATTTTTAAATTATTCTACAGAAATTTTTAAAATTGCATTAAATATTGAATTCATATTTTTACAAATTAATTCATTCCTCCCATTTTTAATATTAATAACTATTGTAATTAATATATATATATAAAAATGTAAGATTTTATCATTCGTCTATATGTAATACAAAATTAATATGATGCAAAGATCAACCTTTAAACTTGCTACATTTTGTGATCAAAGTGTAATGTACTAACAAAATTAAGTCTTCACACATAGAATTTACTGTTATAGGTAATTCAATATTGAATCTTGAGTTACAAATACTTAATTAATACCTAATTATAATAATAAAATTATCACAGATATGACAATATTCATTGATTTTTTTACTGTTTTTGTTCATTTAAATTCTGCTAAATATTTTTCAAGCAATTTGTTAATAATTCAGTGAAAAATAATAATTAAAAAATTTCCATAAATAAATATGAACTAAAGTTTATAATCAGCAATTATTAATTTCCTTTCATAATACTATCAATACCCTATTGTCTATATGTCAATAAATAATCAATGAGAAGTAAATGAAAAATAATAACTTTTCTTTGTCTAATATAAATAGTTTTTATAATAATAAAATAACTATATAAAAGTAGTAAAAACTACAGATATAATTAACTTAATAATTAATAAGAGTGTTTGGTTTTATTAATTATGTACCTTTTTTTTTTTTTAATGGTTAAAACACTCATAAGTAATAAATAGTAACAATGATATAGTATTAAAGGAGCAAATTAATTAAACTACAGTCAGCCAATTCGATGAAAGTCCATTGATCAAAATTCGTGATAAGTAAAATTTAACTGTAAATATTTAGTATGTTAATGTTTATTAATAATAATTATAGGTAACTTTTAATCTAAAATTTGGATCTCTTGTATTGAATAAAACTTGTTAAAATTTGTTTTTGTTATACTAAATTAAGTGTTTTAAGTAAATAAGTATTGTATAATTTTCATTGTTTAATGCTATTCATTGTAAAATAAAACTTTTATTGTTACCAAATAAATATTATGCTGTAATTAATATTATTGTAATGGGTACTAAAATAATTGTAGCTATAATTATAAGATAATTCGTTAAATAAAATTTATTCTGTTCCTCACTCTCTGTGTTACAATTGAAAAAAATATGTCATTATAGGACTCAGAGAATTTGTTCATAGTTATTATAAACGATTTTTTTTTAAAGGATAAAAGAACAAAAGCCAGAATTTTGATGATCCATATTATTGTATATCATAAAAGTGTGTGTTGTATAAAATTGTCCAATTAACACGAAATGATTTACCACCAAAATGATAATCACTATTGTAATTGTCAATTCGTAAAACATTCTGTAAAAATAAAACAGACTGGAAGTCGTCTTTAATTGAAAATAATAATTAGATATTAATAAATTAAAAAACGTATAGGGTAATTTTACATGATTTTAAACATTCTAAAAAATGTTGTAATTCAATAGTATGTCAATGACTTGATCTATTCAACTTTCTCTTCATTTATTAATTTTTATTAATTTATAAAAATATAATTAAACAATATGTTTTTTATAATTCATTAAACTTTTTTTCCTTAAAGAAAAATTGCTCAACAATATTTTACAAGTTTGAGAAGTAATTTTTTTATTTTTTATTGTCCTACATTTATTTTAGTCCAATATACATCAAAATACTAAAATGAAGGGAATAATCTCAATTATTATTGTTCTCACAGATTTTGATAATAAACCTTTATTAAATATATATATCCGATTGTCCTAAAACTGTTTACTAATATATTACTATAACTACATTATTTGTAATACTTAAGTCAAGATAATGTGATATGGAAATGAAAAATAAATAATATTAGCTTCGATGCGAAGCGGAGAAGGTATTAATTTTACTATGATTTTTTTTTTTTTTTTTTTATGTCTGTTGCCACTTTTTCTCAGCTCTCACTGGACCGATTTCTTTCAAAAATACGTCAAAAGATCACAAATCGTATCTAGTTGAAGACATTACCCTTAAAAATTGAAAAAAATTCCCTCGTTCCCCGCAAATGGGGGAAATATCCAAAAAAATTACAAATTTAAAAATCGCTAATTTTCGAAATTTTTTCACTTTTTTTTCTTAAAACTTCCATAACTTTTTGAAAAATCAACAAATCAACATAATTTTTTTTTATACTAAAACCTTAGATATTTACCTTTCATTTGATATCATTTTTTTGAAAATCTATCACTTAACCTGCTCATTGGGGGGGATTTAAAATGGCAACTTTTTTACAAAAATTAATTTTTTCAACTTAATTTTTGAAAATGTTCCGGAAAGACTGCGTCCTTTAAACATATATCAAATTAAAGCTTATTTTATGTACTACAAAATGAAAAAAAAAAATTTGTCCCGACACTTTTTTTTCTACATTTAAACGGCTGCCGTAGTTAAAAAAACACTATTTTTGTGTTAAAATTTTCGATTTTCGATTTTAAATTTTCAACTTAAAAATGCTATAACTTTTTGAAAAATGTATATATCAGCACAAATTTTTTTTTTCTAAATACATTATAAGTACATCTTTCATTTGACATACTTTTTATTAAAATTGGACAATTTCCCCTTATATAGGGGGCGTTCAAAACTTAAAATATTGTAAAAAACATAGATCTTTTTCAACTGAACTTTTGAAAATGTTCCGGAAATACTGCGTCCTTTAAACATATATCAAATCAAAGGTTATGTTATATACTATCAAATGAAAAAAAAAAATTTGTCCCGACATCTTATCTTCTATGTGCAAATGGCTGTCGAAAATTTAAAAAAAAATGTAATGTTTGCGATAAAAATTACCTTTTATCGGGATGTTTTTTGTACTTAAAACTGCCATAACTTTTTCAAAAATTAACAAATAAAAATAATATTTTTTTGTATTAAAACCTTAGATATTTCCCTTTCATTTGATATAATTTTTTTTGGAAATCTACCACTTATTCTGTTCACTGGGGGGATTTAAAATAGTAACTTTTTTACAAAAAATAACTTTTTCAACTTAATTTTTGAAAATGTTCCGGAAATACTGCGTCCTTTAAACATATATAAAATTAAAGCTTATTTTATGTACTACAAAATGAAAAAAAAAAAATTTGTCCCGACGATCTATCTTCTATACGCAAACGGCTACCGTATTCAAAAATATGCTATTTTAACAAATTTTTTTTTAAAATGAAATACTATCTACAGATTTGCATCGAAGCGTTTCTTATGATAGTGATTTTAATCACTGTCAAATATCATCTATACTTGTCCCATCTATGCCTTGTCTACACTGTGCCTCGACCCCACTGTGCTACCGTTTTTTATATTGACATTGTACTTATCAATTCACCATAATATTGTAACTGTATTTTTAATTAAGTGATTGAGAAAGAGTGTTATAACAATATTATTATTAAAAATATGACTGTACATGTACAATATACGTTCAAAGAAATACCTTATAAAATAATTATTATGTAGATCAGGGATGGACAACTCAAAGTTACTAGAAGGCCAATTTTTAAACAATTAAAATCTAGAGGGCCAGAGCAAAGAAGCAAAAAAAAAAAAAAGTCATTCAAATTGTACATTTTAATTAGCATTTTTTTGTTTATAATGTAATAATACAAAAAGGGTTATTAAAATAATTTAATTAAATATAAATAGATATTTGTTTAGTGTGAGTTTTGAGCATGAATGGCTTCTTGTGACAACGCGATAAAATCGACTTCTATTTAGGACGAAGAAACACGAAGTAGGTGACTTAATGTTTCATCTGTTAGTCGATTTCTATGTTTTGATTTAATATGTTTCATGTTTGAAAATGTACATTCACAAATGTAAGTAGTCCCAAACACGGATAACATTTTTAATGTGAACTCTCGTAAAAGTGTATATTTTAGAATAGGTAATTTTTTCCAAAAGCTTATGTCAATATCTTTTGTAGATAAACTTTAAAATTGTATGTTGCAATTTGAAAATGTAGCGCGGGCCATATAAAAAAGCCTCGCGGGCCGCCAGTTGCCCACCCCTGATGTAGGTAATTACACATATGATTTAATAATATATCTCTGCTACGATTGTTTCACGAACGATTTGTTGTTATTCTTTTAGCTTCGATGCAAAGCTGAGAAGGTGTTAGTTTTACTATGTTTTTTTTGTGTGTCTTTTACCACTTTTCATTGCTCTCGTCGAACCGATTTCTTTTAACGATATGTCAAAAGATCATAAATCGTATCTAGTAGAAGACATTACCCTCAAAAATTGAAAAAAATTCCCTCGTTCCCCGTAAACTGAGGAAATCCCCCAAAAAATTACTAATTTAAAAATCGCTAATTTTCCACATTTTTCAATTTTTAGCTTCGATGCGAAGCGGAGAAGGTATTAATTTTACTATGATGTGTTTTTTTTTTTTTTTTTTTTTTTTTTTTTTTT